GTCCGGTATTTAGATGGCCTCTATCTAGTTGGCTAGCAAGCACTGCTGATTGATTTTGTGGTGGTGTGATATAAACAGTGTTTTCCAACGGAATATGATTCTCACTTATTCACACAGTTCAAAACGGCATTAGCAACAGAATACCGTATATATTTGAACATTCTATTTCAGGTCGTTTAATGTAAGCCAAAATCACACGCTCAATGATTGGTTAGAGAATATAAGCTGTATATATATATATATATATATATATATATATATATATAGCGGTTTGATCACTTGAAAATATACACTGGCTTCCATGTCTTGCCTTCTGCTATTATATTAGTACTACTTTTGAATTTCTGAGTGCCTAGCAGAATATAAGGCTTCAGAAGAACATCTACATTCTGCTCAATTCTATACCATCACTTCCACCTGACTCAAACACTGCTTACAAGTCTTCATTTCCTCTACACATGATCCTCTTCATATCATCCTTCAACTGACGTCCAGATAGTCGCCTCCCATTCGGTTTCCACTCCCCAGTCTCCCTGGAATGCCTTTTCTCTTCAATGTCTCCTCACCATATGTCCAGTTCATCAACATCTCCATATGCATATATGTGAAGTGATAGGTTGATTGGTTGGTGGGTTGGCTCACTGACTGCCAGAGTTTCTTGCTGCATATCTGTGCAGAAAAGTTGTCTCCCCCCAATTAAAATCGGGTGAAACTTGGGAGAAATATGGGAGAATCACTACTTAGATATCCATTCAGTCAGTCAGTCAGTAAGTAGGCCTTACTTCTTATAGAAATCAATGAATGGTAAGGCAGTCAGTCACCAGGTCTAATGATGACATTATCTATGATTACAAATGAAGGCTAAGAAAATACCATATAATTTCTGCACTCATCTCAATCTACAGATATTCTTGTTACTTCACTAGTTACATGTGGTGATCGAAGTGAGGAAACGTTGTATCCAGTAAGATACTTGTGAGTTATACCTGAGTAAAAGTAGAGAGAACGCGCATCATTAATGAAACCCAGTTTGATCACTTGAAAATATACATTGGCTTCTGTGTTTTGCCTTCTGATCGGTATACAACTACTCATCTCAGCCAATCAGTAGTATGCGGTTTTGTTTGTTTTCTTGATTTTCATTTATGATGGTATCAAGCAGATCACAGGAATTGCGGGAAAGGAAACTACTCTGGAATTTCACTACACGAATTGTGTAGATGACAAATTGCTAACCGATTCTTTACAAATTGTGAATTTGTATTCATTGTTTTTGTACACAAAGGAGGCTATCTCCTCAGAATTTTTTCAGTATGCATCCATGACGGTTTCTACAGGGAATTTTTTGTGATTTTTTTCTATACATGAAGTTGCTAATCTGCTACCTGCCTTTATCGAGGTTTCATAGTTTAATTTTGTTTTTCAAGCCATTTAGCTGTATGCTCTCCCACCTTCACATGCAAATGTAACGACAAAAGGCAAGGGCAAGGCAGCAGATCATTCATTGAGAAAATCAAGGAATATTCATAGATTTTTATGTACATTATTATTCGCTATTGTTAACAGAGAAGCAACGTCTTCTGATTGGTTGTTTTCCTGCTGAAGGTTATTCTTTACTGCTTGTGAACGTTTCTTAGAAAGTCAGGCCATATATCTGCGAATTGTATTTGCACACGTTGAGTCTGCTGTGATTGGTTGTTGAATTCCTCAGGGTTAAGCTTTGTTACCGTCTTTCTTATGACCCCGATTCGGGACGTAAACATTGACGTTAATTGTTGTCTAGGGTTTCGGCCAGCAGACAGCTCTTGCCACACAAAGAGTGATTACGCCGCTCTGTGTATGTCTTAACACGCATACGCATACACACGTAAAGGGGAATCCTGTATGGCATATGACATAATCACTTGTGTAATGTTGGGTCTTGCAGCAGAGCACATTTTTGGCTTCTTCGGTAGTTATAAGCCGGGGTGTGTACAGAATTTTTCGGATGATGGAATTTAGTTTCTGTCTTAATATCTTATTATCTATTTACTCAATTTGAGGGGGTAATTTAAGGGTGACATTTTTCTTTGGGATTGAATAGACTGTAGACTTTGAAACTAACTGATCTCCACACTGGTACATAACTTGAGAATTGGTCTTTGAACAAATTCAGTACCACTGGCTAGTGTATTGTGATTTATTCCAAAAAGGGAAGTTTTAAGAGGAGTTTTTAAATGCCATTTATTTTCATATCCATTTTTTAATGTAGACCCACAAGGTCCTGGGTTCGAACCTTGGTGGTGGATGCGTACTGATGAAGAGTCCCAAACTATGACGAAACAATTCTCCAGTACTCCGTGCAGGTTTTCCAGTGGTTCCCTAACTGATTTCAGCTCATGATAAAACCCTCCAACCACTGAAACCCAGTCCCTACAAAAGCAATACTTCAAAAATAACAATAATATCTTGATTCTGAAAAATGCGTTTATACACAATACAGAATTTACAGCTAGCTTCATTGCAAGGCATATACTCCTTGTTCAGAAGCTTCAAATAACATAATATTTGATAGTATATATATTATCTGAAGCAAAACTGTTCCATGTAAAGCTTGATCCAGTACATCACAATGTTCTTCCTTCATTTCTTACGAAAAATTTTCAGGGGTATGTGGAAACGTATTTGAAATAGTGCGTGAGTATGAATTGTGACTCATTGTGGTAATTAGCTCATTAAAACAATATTTGAAACGGAGTAAACACGATGCATTTTGATGGATAGAAAATTTAAGTAACCCAGTGTGATTTAAGCAGGCTTACGTTTTTGTAAGAATAGTAGTGGATAAAATTTGGAAGATACATTTTTTTTTCAATGTTCACAATGGTCTCCTCTCCTTCAAGCTAGAAGCTTGAAGTTTCTGTAACAGTGTTTATTTTTTTTACAGAATGGAACTGCTAGCTTGATGCCCAACCTTTACTCTTTACTAGCTTTATTTCTGGCTTAGCGAGTTAAAGGAGTGCATCCGTGGCCGGGGATCGAACCCCGGACCATGTGCATGGTCGGCGAGCATCCCAACCAATGTGCCACCGACTCCATCGAGAGAAGTTGATGAACACAAATTTTTTCTTAGATATGACTACATGAATACACGCATCCCTTAAACTCAAACAGTATAATTTGCTACACTTTTTTCAAGTATTTTCAATGTAATCTTTGGCCTTATTGAATAATTTTCTTAACTCACTGCTTTCAAAAGTTCTAACTAATTTCTTATTCAGCTCTTTTGATATGTCAGAACGTATTACATTCTCATATGCCCTGTTCAGAATAAGACAAATATCAATAAGTGAACTGAGATATGTTTCTCATTACTGAACTGTTCAATGTTTGCAAGACACTGATCGATTAGTAAGTAGTACTACCGAAGTCTTCTTTTAACAAAGTGAATGGTGATGTAACACTTCATGAGGAATTTATTCAGTTTTTAATAGGTAGGTCATGATTAATCACATAGTAGTTCATAAAGTTGAATTTATGTGGTATAGATTCATGATGCAATATACTACTGACTAATCGTCGATATGAGTAGTTGACCGCCACAGACATGAACCAGTAGTGTTAGCTAGCCAGACTTAACTGATCTAACAAGAGGATGATTCTTTCACACATTTTTAGCGCTGATGAACTCTGCCTCCAAATGGCTGTTTAAATTGTAAATCGCGAATTGCAAAATTGTGAATTTGCAGTTGTGTGTGTGTTTGTATGTGACCTATTTTATTCACAATTTGGAATAATTTCAAGTAGCTACTAACAAGGAGTATAAGCGCTAAATAAAATAAATGGGAGTTCTGAGATGCGAGTAGCTGACTTAGTCTTTTGTGTAGAAGAAGCAAGTCTACATAAGTGTATTGTATAAAGAATTGATTATCACAGAAATGGTCTGTTAAACATTCAAGTGTATGTTGTAAACTTTATTTAATAAAAAGTGTATTTATCAATGTTTGAACTTCTATAAAAGTTTAGCAAAATCAATCCTCATATTAAACTTGACTTATTTCCTTTCTTCATCATAAATTAAGCGCATCTTGAATTGGTTTCAGGTGATTGGAAGCACTCTGTAGATCTAAGTTTTGTGTTTTTTATTGGCACTAGAAGGTTAGGCATGTCTTCAGTTTTGAAAGAACTCATGTCGTCTATGAGATTCAGACCCGAATCTTCCAGTGTTTGAATCAAAGATGTTGCTACTGAGCTATTTGCAGTCACAACTGGCCTCTTATAGAACTGTAATAGCTATTCAGAAAAGTTCATCAAGAAACCATATGACTAAGAAAGCAGAAAAGGAATATTCTCTATCTGTAAATAAAAAACCATTATAAAGACGACTACAAAACAAGGGCGATGAACCTTGCAACTTCTAATTGTATCTACCAATTCAAATGCGCTTGTGATGGAGCAAGTTATATTGACCATTGTTGTAGAAACCTGACTTTTCGTGCTCGCACAGGAAAATCTACCAGTGTGGTTGAATAACGGTGTAGTTAGAAGGGTCAACAGCTCCATATTAGGACACCTGGCCCAGACCGGCCACAAAGACAGCCATCGTTGGACAGTCCTTCCGAATCATTTATCGGGTACCAAACAAATTGCGAAAAACACCCAGATACCTCATACTCCAAACAGTAGAGGCTATCGTGATTGTAGTGAAACAATCGGTTCTCTGTGTGCAGCAGAAGCATGTCGAGCCACTACTACTGCCCTGGCTGGCCTTAGGTGGAGACTGTAAATTCATGAAATTGTATTATTCTTCTTCCTAATTTTTGTGATATTCAGTGTGGTGTAGTGTTATGTTGATGCTATCAAAGTGTAATCCATTGGTATTATTATCACTGTTGATTCGATGTTATTTAAAGAACATTGATGTCGTTGATAATACTAATTCATTCACCATAATGTATATATATATGTATATATGACTTTGGAACCTGATGAAGAGTAGGTTATAGAAAAGACTACTCTTTGTTCAGTAATTATTCATTTTTATCAAAGACAATAATCACTCCGTGATGATTCAATTGTTAAGCATCACAATGAAATATTGGAAGTCACTCAAAAATATTTAACTTTTATGAAAAAAGATAATAAAATAATAGAGAACCACTGTGACGTCATGTGAGCAGTTAATCAAAACAAATATTCAGAGATTTTGTCTTATCAGAAGTATGACAATGGAAATGTGAAAGTGTTCTTAGTAATTTGTAACCAACCAACCAACCAACCATGCAACCAACTAACTAACTAACTGACTAACAGTCATGAAAAGTGATATTTAAGCATATTGAAAGAAGAAAAAGGTGTTGTTGTACTGAATAACAAACGTATATGTTAGTTTAATTTCCTTTTTTCAACACCTTGTTCAATAACGAAATGATCCATCCTCAGAACTATTACTCTTTGAAGATCTAGTTTCATATTCTATATCACTTAGACAACTCGATGAAGGTAGACTGTCATTTTCTCCAGCAAGGCGATAGGTATTTACCACACTGTATACAAAGTAAAATATTATACCTGAATAAAATTTAAAAAAGAAGAAAATAATGGGAAATAATTAAGGTAAAATAAAAGATAAAATATAATTGCAAAGCTTACAATAAATGAATTATACATGTAGTAGTTCGGCATGTGCTACTGATAAGATTTGTCAGTAGTATATTCAAAGAGACGTTCACTGCCGTAAAAATGTCAAATAGCCGGGAGATAGATTTGAAGTCGGAGAAAGTAAATGATTCATCTTTGCGGAAAAACACGGGAGACTTTGAAAAGAACGACTATATGAAGGTCAGAAGCGGCCCAACACGAAAGATCTGTGCAGATGGTGCTTTGAAGATAAGGTGTACATTATTTCGCTATAGAGAGATCATAATAATCATAGTAGAGTTAAGTTCATTGAGTCCATTATTAATAATAATAAGATTATTTTGCCCAGAAACTTAGCAACCTTTATGTCACCGTTTACAATTGTGAACTTCTGATATAATTTCATTTGGTAACTAAATTATTAGGGCCATAGGGTGAAGTGATTTTCAAATTATTAGCAGCATTAAGGTAAACTTAGTAACTAAAAGATATAAATCACTGTTTTAATAAACACTCCCATATTTGTGACGATTCTCAAGCTAGGATAAAATAAATATCAAGCGCTGTTCTCGAACTAATGCCAATCGGTGGTAAAGTTAGCATTGGAATCAACCAAATCCCTATAAATCCAATAAGTGAATAAGACTTTTCACCGAATTCGTGTAAATTTTACCGGTGAATTTCGTTGGAAACAGAAATAACTTGGAGAACTATTGAGAATTATAAACGATTGGTCAGCCTTTTTTCATAGTTCGAAGCTGTTCAATACTACGCATTCATCACGTTACCAGACGTTGATCCCACGACATCAGGGTGATCTGTTCATCTGAGAAGTTTATTTTATCAGCTAATAAATGTCACTTACCAATAAACACCCAGACAGCAAAACGTGCCCATGAAAACCAGGAGACTTGAGATATAAGTAAGAAGTTTATGGTTATTGTAAGGCAAGGAATCCATGGAACAAGTGGAACCTGTAAAAAGGATTATGACAATTTTAATACATGCACTATATCTAAGTAAGTGTACACAAATGATTATAAGTCATAGAAGTACTAGCTGTTTGACGTTAAGAGTACACACAACCCCTGATCTCATAAGCAATACAGAATATTAATTGCCAGGGACTAGCCATAAGCTTATTTGTGAGATCAATTATCACTCATTAATAGATTATACACTTGTTTTGAGGTTGGCGAGAAATGCTAAGCAAAGAAAAACACTGGTGATGAACCGGCCAATCAATTTATTGTCCAACAAATATGCAGGAGGAATTTAAAATGAACTACACATACGTCGATGAGATATTCAAATGAAATTTGCACCTTAGTAAAGCCGCAGAATGGAAAATGACTGGGAAGTGATGAGTTGAGCGTCTGAGGATGACATGACATGGAGAAGGCTACGTGAAGAGAAAAATGAAGGCTTTTAAGCAATTATCAATCCAGATGAAAGTGATGACAAGAGATTGAGTAGAATGGGGATGGGATGCTGAAGCTGTTTGTTCCACTCGGAAATCAAGGAATGAATAGTAATGAGGACGGAACACAGGTCCTATGACACAGTGTTATTTCCAATAAACTAATGCATTAGCTATATAAAGTTGACTTATCTAGTATAAAATATACTTGCTAATGACGTACACTAACTTATCGGTAACACATTTCAAACTATACAAAAAAATTGTAACGCAATTGTTAGTGATACATCGACATGACTTTTCGTAATTCCATGTTAGTTTGTTCATTTGATGTATCACACAGTGAAACAGTATTATTATTTACTGGATGACAAAACTTCGAACACAATTTATTGTTCACAAACATATCAATTATAATCACACGACTTCGAAACTTGAGTTTTATAGTTTTCTTTGTTCTCTCGTATTTGTCGTCGTAGGGGTAGTAGAATTTTGTAGATATCTGGGAATTGATGAAATATTTAACTAATAGAGCACAAAATCTATGTAGTGCCAAGGAAAATCTAAGACAGGAAATCAGGCACATAAGAGAAGTTTTGAATCCTAATAATTACCCTGATAAATTAGTTAGAAAGTATGTAGGGAAATGTAAAAATAAAATAAATAATGATAATAGTGATAGTGAAAATAATAATGGTAATATTAATGACGACATGCATGTCAAACATGCGCAACATAATGACAACACCAACAATGGGGAATCTAAATCATCAGTAGTAATTCCACATAAGGAAGGAACCTCAGAAACCTTACGCAGAATTCTTAACAAGGCAGGAATAAATGTGGCTGGCATTCAAGCCACCCGTAAACTCCATTAGAAACAAGCTTTGTCAGTTAAAGGATCCTGTGGAACAGCCCATTAAGCAAAACAATTTAGTTCATCTAATACCCTACCTACAATGATTTTTCAGGTCAAATACATAGGTCAAAGTAGTAGAACAGGAGCAGTCAGATTAGCAGAACATAAAAACCAAGCAAAATCTAGATTATTCGACCCGAATAAGATAAGAAATCTAGAGAATAGTTCGGCTGCATATAGTACTACATGCAGTTACACACAACCATACACTAGGATGGGATAAGATGACAGTTTCAAAATCTAATGTCACAGGGCATATGGAGAGATTGATAACAGAAGCTTTGTTTGTTGAATCAACTTCAAATACATGTAATAGGAATGATTCAACAACTGTTCAGCCGGACATCTGGAAAATTCTACTACCTTAACGAAGACAAATAGGAGAGAAGAAAGAAAGCTATAAAACTCAAGTGTCAAAGTCGTGTTATCACAATTGATATGATTACGAACAATAAATTTTGTTCGAAATGTCAATGTCCAGTAGATAATACTGTTTCACTGTGTGATACATCAAATGAACAAACTAATATGGAATTACTTACTACCACAGTGCCCAAGTTTTACACATATATTAATATAACTTTTCGTAATAATTATAATATCTTGAAAGGGATTTTAGTATTTTAGTTGTATTCTCTGAGCTAGTTGAGAATACAACGAAATCAAAATAATCCACCTGAGCTACAAATCTTCTCTATCATTTCAGAGGTAAGTAGTCCTAGAAACATGTACAGATTTCCTTATCCGAGTTATGGGTAGTATACATTACTGAACCCTGAAATCTGCTCCTGTGGAGTCAGTTATATAGGCCGTACAATTAAGCCTGTTTCTCGTCGGATTTCCGAACATCACCCTGAGTGGTTAAGTAAAGGACAAACAAAATCTATTCATAGCATTATTCTATCTCATCTTGTGGATAAAGAACGCAAGATTGATGTTAACGAGGAGGCTTTCAAAGTCATTTACCGCATACCAAAAAATCTCAACTTCACCTTAAGAGTTCGTCTACAATATATTGCTGAGGCCGTCGGGACCCACATTAAGAAGCCTAATTTATATGTCCAAAAGAACCTAGTTCAGACATTGTCCTTACCTTGGCCATTTAGGTTCGAATAATTCTCATTTTTTTGTAGAAATTTCCTTAATTTTAGTTGATATTCTCTTTGCCATTGTATTATTATTATTATTATAATTTAAGCATCTTTAATGAACTGTAATTCCCTTGATCTTACTTTACAAATCGATATTATATAAAAAACCCTTAGTATTGTTATTGACTACTATTCTAGAATATTCTATGTATACAAACTATATATATATATAATTGTGGAGCCAGAAGAGGAGGAAATTGTTGAAAAGGATATTCTTTGCTCAATTATTTTTTTTAATAAATCGATTAGTATCGAACATGACAACATCTTCAGTCGAAAATTCAACATGAAATCTGAAGTTTGCGCTAGTGATGTTGTCTAGAAGGACAATGAAAGTTTCACAATTTAATCACCGAACTTAGAGAATGCGACCACATCGAAATCATCCATTTGAGCTATAAAGTTTTCTCTGTCATTTCTAGTGCTCTACGTGTATTTCATTATCGGAAAATGATGAGCAAAGTAACAACAATTGTGCATTTTATTTCTAAAATAATCACAGTATTTTGTAGAGACTAATTTAATAAATGGGAGGAATCTGAAAGAAACAACCTCCTTTATCTACCCACCTGCCTGGGAAGCATCGTTTCAACTACAGGCCGACGGAACTGATGAGGACATCAAAGCGAGGATCATCAGGAAAACAAGCCAAGCTTTCATTACTCTCAAGTCTGTATGGAGGTCAACAGCAATCAGCATGAAAAATAAGATACGGATTCTCAACTCCAATGTGAAGTCAGTGCTGCTTACTCTTCCGATCAGAGATTTGGTATCGCGTCATGAAGAGCACCTCAAACAAACTACAAACCTTCATCAACAGCTGTCTTCGCTCAATACTACTCAAGATTAGATGGCCGGCCGACCAGAAAGGATCAGCAATATTGAGGGATCTCAGGCAGTGAGCGAGCGAACCAACTCAGTAAGAACTGATTTTGCAAGAAATATTGAGGAAGAAATGGAGGTGTATTGGATGGCCATACTCTGAGGAAACAAACCACCATGAAGTGACATCACACGTTAGGCTGTTTCTCTCTTGAGTGGAACCCGAATAGGAAGTGGTGAGTTGTTGTTCAGTGGGAGGGTGGAGTGACATGGAGGAGATGATGTGAAGCGGAAATGACAGCATGTGGGTAGACGTGGAGTGAGGTTAGAACCGAACAGGATGGAGACGTTTGGCTGAAGCCCAATGTTCCTCTAGGAACTAAAGGAAACAATAATAATAACAATAATTTAAAACGACCTACTCGATATAAATCCTTGTCCGGTGATCCGTATTGTTGAATAATGCTTGCGCACATTAAACAAGATATTAATAAAATCAGAAGTAGTACAATAGCAATCATCCTCCATGGTGCAAATTCCATCGAATCCAATCTTCTATCAACTAAACACAAAACAAGCAAACCACTGAGTACAATGTAAACTGACACGGCGACAACAACCACATCACCAGGAACACCTGAGTTGATAACTTGTAGTGTTTTGTCCGGCAGATTCTTACCAAATGCACGCTTTATAAATCCTGGTTTACCGACACGTTTCCTGTAATATTTTTCCTCTTCTGTAGTCTTTTCAACAGAAAACGGGAAACAAAAGCATGAATACAGTTATAATAATACTGTTATATGAAATTGCCTTGATTGTTAAACTAATATGCACAAGGATAGAGTTTATGGAATACATGCAATTAGTTGAAGGCTAAGGAATAGTAAAATCGTTACTCTGAATTCATTTGTGAACCGGATATTATCGTGTATACAACTATGAATGTATTATATATCAAGTCTCCTTTACTTAATGCTTTCAGAGGAACAGAGATAGTTCAAGATTTATAGAACTTCTCCTACTACCATTTGAGGGGGCATACGACTTCTTCTAAATTCTGAAGAATGCATTTTATTTAGTTGATGAATGTATCTACAGATAACTTTCTTTACAGTTAAAACAATGCAGATACACAGTACTGTTGAACGTCTTAACTGGGTATTTTCAAATTTCTGTTAAAATTTATGAGAATTTGGTTATATGATACCATCATTACTGGGTTTCATTAATGATGCACGTTCTCTCAGATATGACTCACAGATATCTTACTGGATACAACGTTTCCTCACTTCGATCACCACATGAAACTAGTGAAGTAACAAGAATATTTGTAGATTGAGATGAGTGCAGAAATTATATGGTATTTTCTCAGCCTTGATTTGTAATCGTAGATAATGTCATCATTAGACCTGGTGACTGACTGCCTTACCATTCATTGATTTCTATAAGAAGTAAGGCTTACTTACTGACTGACTGACTGAATGGATATCTAAGTAGTGCTTCTCCCATATTTCTCCCAAGTTTCACCCGATTTTAATTAGCGGGAGACAACTTCTCTGCACAGATATGCAGCAAGAAACTCTGGCAGTCAGTGAGCCAACCCACCAACCAATCAACCTATCACCTCACATATATGCATATGGAGATGGTGATGAAGTGGACATATGGTGAGGAGACATTGAAGAGAAAAGGCATTCCAGGAAGACTGGAGAGTGGAAACCAAATGGGAGGCGACTAGCTGGACGTCAGTTGAAGGATGATATGAAGAGGATCATGTGGAGAGGAAATGGGGGCTTGTAAGTAGTGTTTGAGTCAGCTGGAAGTGATGGTAGAGAATTGAGCAGAATGGAGATGTGCTTCTGAAGCCTTATGTTCTACTCTGCACTCAGGAATTGAATAGTAGTACTACTTCAAAAGCAGAAGGCAAGACATGGAGACCAAGCTATATTTTCAAGTGATCAAACCGCTATTTATATATATCCAGCTTATATTCTCTAACCAATCATTGAGCTTGTGATTTTGGCTTACATTAAACGACCTGAAATAGAATGTTCAAATATATGCGGTATTCTGTTGCTAACGCCGTACTGAACTGTGTGAATAAGTGAGAATCATATTCCGTTGGAACACATTGTCTGTATAACCCCCAACACACTACACCTTAGTTTCAGTTTGCACATTTCTATACACTCAACTGGTTCTTAGTCGGTCAAGACCAATCATGAAATTGCAAGTGTCTTCGTAAGCAAATTATTAGGCAATAGCTGATGTTGAAACGATTTTTTCATGTCTATGAATAACTTGATTATATCATTAGTACAGCACTCATCAGAGTGATAAATGATCACACTATATACTACCTATGTTCTTCAGACTTTCATATTTTACCAATATTACCGTACAATTTTAATAGAGTTTTCAAGTATCTTCAAAAAACTCTAAAAAAAAGACCGAAATTCCACATAAATCTGGAACAATCATTCCACTGCTGTTTGATCAAACCAAATCAAATGAAATACTTCAGAAAAGAAACTTTGCCGTGAAAGACAATCTCTAATCTGAGAAGAATTCGAATACTTACCTCATTTGTTTTACCACTGCCTCCTCTAAGATGATTAGATTTACAAGAGTGCTGAGGATTATCTGACTGGTGTCTATAGCGTAGGCATATAACACTGAGTGCATTTACACTATAGGCAATTAATGTGCCTAAATTCAGGAAATCAGATAAACTGTCCACAGTAAATATTAAACTGAATGCTGCTGCTATAACAGCAAAGATTGCAATAGTAATAAAAGGCGTCTAAAGAAAAGAAAGAAAGAGTGATTCATACTGAGTAACACTCAAACATTACTTTTTAAACATGAAAACAAAAAAGAGATTTTACTTCACCGTGTTTCAATAAATTCCAGCTGGCTAAAACCTTTTTGCTAACAAATATGCTGAAGGAAAACACGTTGAAGAGACCACTGAATGCTAAGCAAATCCTTGAGTAGCATTCGAATGGAATAGGACAAGTTGGGCGTCCAAGATGAGGACGTGAAGGACGTGAGATCGTATGATCAGAAGGTAGCTAAAGAAGACTTCGGAGAACAGGATGAAATACAGATGTTCTTTTGAAGCCGTACATTCCATTTGGGATCCAAAGGAATAATGAACGCATTCTGCGTTATTCAGTAAATATTTCACATATCAGTGCCATTATCACTTTCCATTCTTTAACTAACCTATTTATTTGTGTTGTTCAGCACTGCAGTACTTAATCTATTCTTTTCTAAAGGCATTATATGCTTTAGGATATATTAATAATATCTTAATTGAGTATAGGCCTGAGTTAGACAAAAGGAATAATAGCTGAGCTATCCTATCGTCTCCAATTCCCAAAGTTATCAGGTATACCATCGATATAATAATATTTTTTTGATTAGAGCTTGAAACCACACAGTATTTCTGGTACAAGTATGGAATTTTCAGCATATGATATCGGTAGCCCAAATTTTGCAGGCCGACCATAGATATCAGGTGTACGTCGGCAGGAGATCGAACCCCGGACCATGTGCATGGTCGGCGAGAGTCCTAACCACTGTTCTACCGACGCTATGCTAGTGGGAATCTTCTCACATACAGGTCATATATACATGTATATACTGGATGAGGCGTCATTGTTCTATGCTATAGTATATGATAAGGTGATAGGGGATTATTTGCTGATGACGTTTCGAGCACAACTTATTGCTCAAAATCAATAACAATGAATAATTATGAATAGTAAATTATGACTGAATGACCATTGGTAAATAATACTGTATCACTATTTGTGTTTTTTTGTTGTTATCAAACGAAATTATTCTGTAATAGAATTTTACTCATTCCTAAGTACAGTAGGCAAATTCTATTCCTCTCTTTTATATCGCTAGATATCTGAAACATATTGTTAACTAGGATAGACTGAACATTCTTGAAAGTGGTTTGTATTTTTGATGAGTAACTGTTCTATATCTCAGTCTTTATTGTATGCTGTATTAAACTCACGTTTCACTAGGTTTAAATCATCCAAATAGATGGAAATGGGTGTTTTACAGAAGCGCATACATCTTTTTCACCTCCTTGATGTTATACCATAAAAGAAACTGCCTAAAATCTTTAATGAATCTCATACTGTAACAACAGAAGGCAAGACATAGAAGCCAAGGTGTATTTTCAAGTGATTAAACCGCTCTCTATTATGCATATATATATATATAGTTTTATATTCGGTAACCAATCATTGAGCGTGTGATTTTGGCTTAAATAAAACGATATGAAATAGAGTGTTGCTAATACAGTATTGACAAGAATAACAACAACAGACAACGGTCAGCAGAAATGGGAGGAACCTGAAAGAAACAACCTCCTTTACCTACCTAGGAAGCATCCTCTCAACTACAGGCGGAACTGACGAGGATATCAAAGCAAGAATCATCGGAAAAGCAAGACAAGCTTTCACTACTCTCAAGTCTGTGTGGAGGTCAACAGCACTCAGCATCAAAAATAAGATCCGGATTCTCAACTCCAATGTGAAGTCAGTGCTACTCACCATACGGATCAGAGACTTGGCGCGTCATGAAGAGCACATCAGACAAACTACAGACCTTCATTAACAGTTGTCTTCGCTCAATACCACTCAAGATCAGATGGCCGGCCAGAAAAGATCAGCAACAGAGATCTCTGGCAATGAGCGAACCAACCCAGCAGGAACCGATTGTGCAAGAAATATTCAGGAAGAAATGGAGATGGATTGGCTGGCCATACTCTGAGGAAACAATCCATCAAGTGACATCACTAGACAAGCCATTGCTCGAGTGGAACCCGAAAGGGAAGCGGCGAGTTGGTCGTCAGTGCTAAGGTGGGGTGACTTGGAGGAGGTCATGTGAAGAGGAGATGAAAACATGTGGGCAGACTTGGAACCAGGTGAAGACTCTAGCAGAGAACCGAACGCAATGGAGACGCACGGCTGAAGCCCTATGTTCCTCTAGGAATTAAAGGAAACAATAATATAATACAATAATAATAATACAGTATTGAACTGTGGGAATATATGAGAATCATAAGCTGTTGTAACACATTGTCTGTATCATACCATCACAATACTTCTACCATACACAGCTAAGGACAAAAAAAGGATGAAGACATGATCTGTTGACGAATATAATGAAGCATCCTATTCAAACTTGAAAGTTTTCCATCATTTTTATTCCACGTGTATATGTATGATAAACAAGGATAATTTATCAACTTTGATGATGATGATGATGACAGGAATATTTTGTTAAATAGTTTATAAATATCAACAGACAATTACCTTGTGTGATTTACAGTTTTGAGAAATATCTTGAGGTAAAAGTCCATCTCGAATCATTGAACAACAAATTTTTATAGCTGATACCATTGGTCCTGCCACAGAAGCAATTAATCCAATTAATGTTCCAATACCAAAAAAGAAGAACATCACAGTTCTAATTATATTCCAAGGATTTTCTAATTTTCTTCTTGCTATAGCAGTTAAAAATGCACTCTCAGATGGTATATAAAACCATGGATAGTACATGGATAAGGCTAAGGCGACTGCAGCAGTTATAAGACCAACAAGAAATGTAGCAATTAAATTAGCTATTGCTAAACTATAATTTGGTTGTTTAGCCTCTTGTGCACGTGATGAAATTGCATGTGATCCAATGAAAACATTGAAGCAAACAGCTGTTCCACTTAATAAGCCTAAAATTCCGTAGGGTAGAATGTTAGCTCTTGTTGATCTTATGTCGACTGAAGTGATATTCGGCGAAAGAGTATACAAGTGTTCAACTTTAGCAAACATAAACATGTAGACAATTGTTACCAATACGACTGTGACATTTAGAACAGTGGAAACTATCTTTACTTTTGAAGCTCTACGCCATATAAAGCAGCAGATGATAGTTAAGATGATAGTTAGTAATGCACTGACAATATCTGGATATTCTGATAACAATCCGTTTGGAGAGTATAGCCTAAATTTTTTTTTTTAAAAAAAGAAGAAAAGAATTAAAACAGTGAATAATTCATACATACTAAAAAGATTTAGTATATTCTTCACTAAAACACTTAATCACATACCAATTGGTATAAAAAGTAAATGTTCATTTCTCACTAGGAATTCATAAATTGAAGGAGAAACATAAAAACTATGCGAGGAAATGTAGCTTTTTCATACAAGTGCTAGAATTTTTAAATGGGGAGTGTTACAGGCTTAAAATGTATAACGCAGACGTTGGTTATAGACGCTTACTGATATTTTAAGTTCTTGCAAAACCTGACTGATAGAATTCAGTCTGCATCAAAGAAAGGACTAGACACGTCACACTAGTTACTTGTGTCAAATCAAAATACCCACTACAGTCCTACAGGAGGTCAATCGCGAGCCAGCGCCAATAGCTCAGTGGTAACGTCTCTGACTGCAGACGGCACTGGGTGACGAGGGTTCGAATCTCTGAAGGAGGGACATGAGTTCCTTCAAGGTGATTGGAGATATGCCTTGGTGGGTGATGAGTTCCAACTAGCCCGAAAGCTAGGTGAAGCAAGGCTTCCTGTGTTCGACTGCCTCCAACCATCTAATATCATCAAGTTCTTATACAATATATCTGCCTCGGTGGTTTAGTCGTAAACTGCTCGCCAACCATTCAGGAAGTTAGGATTGTAATTCCCAGCCAACCCATTTCTGAACCACTACTAGTTTACTTGTTGATAGGAAGCTTGAAGAGAAACAGACTATTCAACGTGAGGTTATCAACTCCACCCTAGAGAAATAACACCATCTGGGAGGAAATTTTAATTTGTGAAGTTCTATGTTCCACTCAGAAAGCATGGAATGATGAATACGGACATTTTTATACTGGGATATTCTTCAAATATTCACTCACAATAAAAATCACTAACTGACTAGTTAAATGAAAAATGTAAAGAACAACTTCTGAGTTTAGACAGGATTAAGAAGACGTCAACTAATATCTGTTATATATGTGTGGAAATGTGATAATCAACTGAACTTAGTAACATTTCAATCTGAATAAAGATTTTGATATGAATGAGGAATATATTACTTAAGAAAGATGAGCAGAGCACATAACAATTGTTCCACGCGCTAAAGGCTCCATAGTACAAATTATGCCTTACCACAGTACCGAAATTCTGTTCTTATATCGAAGATTCAAAGCTACAGCAAACGAAATCCACCTATTTGCTCAGCTTGTAGCAGTCTGGTTAACAGATTCTGTGGGTATGTCAGTTGAGATATGAACCGCGTTTACTGAATGATTTTCGGAAATAAGAAAGAAAAAGCTTAAAAGCATCGTTTCAACTACAGGCGGACGGAACTGATGAGGATATCAAAGCGAGGATCATCGGGAAAGCAAGCCAAGCTTTCATTAAACTCAAGTCAGTGTGGAGGTCAACAGCAATCAGCATGGAAAATAAGATACGGATTCTCAACTCCAATGTGAAGTCAGTGCTGCTTACTCTTCGGATCAGAGATTTGGTATCGCGCCACGAAGGACACTTCGGACAATCTACAGACCTTCATCAACAGCTGTCTTCGATCAATACTACTCAAGATTAGATGGTTGGCCGACCAGAAAGGATCAGCAATATTGAGGGATCTCTGGCAGTGAGTGAGCAAACCAACTCATCAGGAACTGATTGTGCAAGAAATATTCAGGAAGAAATGGAGGTGTATTGGATGGCCATACTCTGAGGAAACAAACCACCATGAAGTGACATCACACGTTAGGCTGTTTCTCTCTCGAGTGGAACCGGAATAGGAAGGAAGTGGTGAGTTGTTGGTCAGTGGGAGGGTGGGTTGACATGGAGGAGGTGATGTGAAGAGGAGATGACAGCATGTGGGTAGACGTGGAGCGAGTTGAAGACGTTGTCAGAGAACCGAACGTGATGTAGACGTTTGGCTGAAGCCCAATGTTCCTCTAGGAACTAAAGGAAACAATAATAATAAATTTACCATGAAGTTGATATGATCAGCTATTGTAAGCGTTCTGTTGCCTGACAGGTATCAAGAATCCCTATCATATATATTAATTGCGACCATTTCTTTTCAAAATCCAAGGCTCTAAAGTGCTTTCTTTAGGTCGCATAATTAGTTAGCGAGGTAGACAGATGAAATGTAACACTTATAATCGTGTTAGATAAGGGACGTCAAGAAGTAAAAGACGAAGTATACAATGGTATGAAATAAGTACTTGCAATGCATGTTATTCAGGTATTGGTAGCAAGGAAATTAAAAGAAGTTTGCTTACAAGTTGCCAGTCACACAGTGTTGTTATCTAATTCTAGTAGCCATAGATAAAATAGCAAAGGCACTAATTACTGCCTTTGTTATTATATCTATGTCTACTAGAATTAGATAACAACACTGTGTGACTGGCAACTTGTAAGCAAACTTCTTGTAATTTCCTTACTACCAATACCTGAATAACATGCATTGCAAGTACTTATTTCATACCATTGCATACTTCGTCTTTTACTTCTTGACGTCCCTTATCTAACACGATTATAAGTGTTACATTTCATCTGTCTACCTCGCTAACTAATTATGCGACCTAAAGAAAGCACTTTAGAGCCTTGGATTTTGAAAAGAAATGGTCGCAATTAATATATATAAGGATTCTCGATACCTGTCAGGCAACAGAACGCTTACAATAGCTGATCATATCAACTTCATGGTAAATTTATTATTATTGTTTCCTTTAGTTCCTAGAGGAACATTGGGCTTCAGCCAAACGTCTACATCACGTTCGGTTCTCTGACAACGTCTTCAACTCGCTCCACGTCTACCCACATGCTGTCATCTCCTCTTCACATCACCTCCTCCATGTCAACCCACCCTCCCACTGACCAACAACTCACCACTTCCTTCCTATTCCGGTTCCACTCGAGAGAGAGACAGAGAGAGACAGCCTGGCGTGTGATGTCACTTCATGGTGGTTTGTTTCCTCAGAGTATGGCCATCCAATACACCTCCATTTCTTCCTGAATATTTCTTGCACAATCAGTTCCTGATGAGTTGGTTTGCTCACTCACTGCCAGAGATCCCTCAATATTGCTGATCCTTTCTGGTCGGCCAACCATCTAATCTTGAGTAGTATTGATCGAAGACAGCTGTTGATGAAGGTCTGTAGATTGTCCGAAGTGTCCTTCGTGGCGCGATACCAAATCTCTGATCCGAAGAGTAAGCAATGAAAACTGCAATGAAAATCTGTTGACAGTCATTCGTTTAACATGAAACAGCTTTTCAGTGGAAAGAGATACACTTCTGTGATCTTGTTTTAACGAAACCTAACTCAATCTTTAATGGGAATTATATGACAAGATGGAAACAATTTACTGGTAGACACTTGTGATTAGTCGAAAAGGGAATCCGTCGAAAAAATTCTTCTCTATCGAGAAAGCCACTTTCAGAAGCTTTGAAATCATATTTTCGATGAATGGCTAGTGACTGTGTCACTATTACTACAAATTGGCCTTCATTTGCATATCCCAAATTTACCTGGTTTTTAAGTATTCAGGTATTGAATAAGTTAGATTGTTTTCTTGATGGTCATTCAGATGTTTTGTACACGCATAATTTGACTGAATAATATATAATCAGCTTTATGTGAGCCAATAGATTTATAGGAAAATGCTGAAGTAGCTCAAGGTGGAAGCCCGTCCTTCACACCCATGAATTACCTGCTTGTTGAAGAATTTGATCCCAAGCTAAGAAGATAACTGATGTCACACAAAATCGAAGACTTACAAGCCAAAACCGACAAACTGGTCGAAGAAGCAGCCGGCGAAGACAGGACTCCAGGTGAACATAGACAAGACGCAGGTTATGAAAATAACCAACCAACAACAACAACAGCAACATCTAGAGCCAATCACCATCAACGGGAGGGATTTGAAAGACGTTACTTCATTCACTTATCTAGAGAGCATTGTCTCAACTACAGGAGAAACCGACGAGGATGTCAAATCGAGCGAGAATCGGGAAGGCGAGAAACACATTCATCAACCTGAAAGCAATCTGGAAATCTTCCGCTGTCACTCAGCATCAACAACAAAATTCGGATTTTCAATACAAACGTCAAGTCAGTCAGTTCTTCTATATGGATCAGAAACTTGGAGGGTCACAAACAATATTTCCAACAGCCTGTTGCAGACCTTTATCAACAACTGTCTTCGTTCTATACTCAAGATCAGATGGCCGGAAAGAATCACCGACAAGAAACTATGGGAACAAACAAAACAAGAACCAATCTCTCAACAAATATGCAGGAGAAAGTGGAGATGGATTGGACAATCGCTGAGCTGAGGAGGCCGCTGGGTGACATCGCGCGTCAGGCCAGTGCTCGAGTGGAACCCGGAAGGGAAGCGACGAGTGGGACGTCGGTGCAAGGGTGACATGGAGGAGATCGTGTGAAGAGGAGTTGAAACAGTATGGACTAACATGGATGGAAGTGAAAAGTACAGCAGAAGACAGAAGCAAGTGGATACGTGCAGTTGAAACCCTATGTTCCACTAGGAACCCAAGGGAACAATAATAATAATAGGATAACATTTTTTCCCAACGATTAAGACAGGAAATTCTTCACGGTCTCTATTTTAGTATCTCATTAACACTCAACCTTCATAAGCAACTGGTGATGAACTCGAATATTTTTCAAACTACTCAGATAGTTCAGTAGATAAACCAGAGAGAATTTCAAAAATTTATTATATTGCTTGTCTGTTGAGTGATATCTCTCGCCAGGCCAGTTACCGAGTGGAAAGCAACTAGTGGGGTGTCCTACAGTGACATAGAGGAGATCGTGCGAGGAGGAGATAAGAGACAATGGGCAACTGTGTGGCCAACTGAAGAGGACTACCAAGAATAGGACACAGTAGAGATATACGCTCTTAAAGCCCTATTTTCCACTCGGAACCCAAGGGAACAGTAATAATAATAATAATAAGTTACTTA